TATTTCCAAAAATTAATCCTAGATTATATATCTTGGCGTTACAACACTCTCCATCTATCATTTCTTGAAGCGACCATGCTCTCCATAGGAACAAAGTTTACGTACCATGAGCAATGCCTTGACATCATTCAAGTTCAAATTTGTCTTGTCATCTTCTTCATCCTTGAGTTTCAACAAGACCTCCAAAAAATCCTCACCCTTCTTTTCACTTTCCCTATCCATCTCCAGCCGCTTCTTAATGACCCGGTCAAACAGACGGTCCATCTTCAGGGTTGGGTCTCGCATACGCTTAGCCAAACCCTGAAGATCAAACCGGCTTAATGCCGGGAAAAAATCGGATATATTTGGCTTCATCAAGAGGTCACTCATCTCTGTAATCAATTCCAAGAACTCAGCTCCAACAATCTCCCTTTCTTCTTCTTCAACCGTACCGCCCCACAACATCTGCCTCAAAACATTCAAGATCATCAAAAATATTTGTTCTCCTAGGTTAACCGGCGATCCGACCCGAGCCTGATCCGCTAAGTACCTAACCGTTCGCCTTGTCTCTCCGCGACGTAGGTTAACGGATAAATCCAACCTTGCATTGCTCAGTATCTTATTAACACATAATTTCCTCAGCATTCGCCACCTCGGTCCGTACGGTGACAAGACGATATCGATACCACCGTACATGTTAACCATACCTACCGCAGTGACATCGTGGTTAGCGAAGATGACGTCATTGGTTTTTAGAATCTCACGAGCCACCTCAGAGGAGGTGACCACGATTGCTAGCTTTGCTCCGAGCCAGAGTTTGAAAATGGGACCATGCGTTTTAGCTAGGTCTAGAAAGTAGGTGTGAAGATCCGGTTTGAGGAATGGGAGGTTTCCGACTATTGGAAGACCCCAAGGTCCCGGTGGCAACGGTGGAGACCGGCGTTTGGACTTGGTGTAAAGCCATAAAACAGAGGATAGAGCGGTCACGACCAAAACGTAGTCTAGGTGGTCCATGCAGCTTAGGATCTTGAAGAAACAAGATATGGCCGTTATTTTTTTCAAGTTGATGCAGTTGAGATATCTACTATGAAAGAGGATCTCGATCTTTTTGTTCAAATTTTTTTAGAATTTGCCATTTGGCAAGAGAGATATATAGGATCTCTGCATGCATCGAATATCATCGACGCGTGGTAAGCTTGGTTTCTCCATCGTCATAAGTGGGGCCTAAAGTTATTTATATCCTTGGTTCAAGTGGCTTCAAATGGGTTTTCAATCTTTTTTATTTTAAAAGTGAGCTTTTCTATATACTACTTTAGAGTAGATTACTCTTGCTTCCAAAGTTAATCAAATGAAAATTTTAAACTAGAAAAAAACGAGAAAATAGTTGTAATGCAATCGAAGTATAGAGTAATATGTAGAAAACTACCTAAAATATAAAATGTGTTTTAAACTATATCAATTTATAAAAATGTGTTTTAAACTACATGAAATATGAAAAAATATATTGCGAACAATTTTTAAAACTTAAAACGTGATTTTGGGGTCAAATTGTAATTAAATTTTCTTAAACCCGATTTAATCAACTATCCCACCAGATCAATCACTTAACCCGACCCAGTTTAGTTTATCATTTTAACTGGACCATATTAATTTGATCCAATATTTTTCTAAAACACAAAAACAAAGACATATATACAAATGACGTGAATTATGTGGAAACGATATTTTGATATTTTAATCAACTATAAGTTATATTGTTTGCTTTGTTTCCACATAATTCACGTCATTTGTATATATGTCTTCGTTTTTGTGTTTTAGAAAAATGTTGGGTCAAATTAATATGACCAGTTAAAATGATAAACTGAACCGGATCGGGTTAAGTGATTGATCGGATCGGATATTTGATTAAATCGGATTTAAAAATAATAATTACAATTTGACCCCAAAATCTCATTTTAAGTTTTAAAAACACAATATGTTATATTCGCAACATGTTTTTTCATACTTCGTGTAGTTTAAAACACATTTTTATAAGTTGATATAGTTTAAAACACATTTTTATACTTCGGATAATTTCTATATATTACCCCATACTTCGGATAGATTACAACTATTTTTCCACAAAAAAAACTCCAAAGTGTATACAACCATTTTTCCAAAAAAAAAAAAAACCAAGGTGTATACACGGCAGATTGGTTATTTCGATACAAATGGATGAATATGACGGACAAACAT